CCTTTTGGTACAGTGACTCTGTGTATTCCTTCCATCTTCTTTTGATGCTTTCTGCATCATTCAATAATTTGCCCAGAGAATCTTTCAATAATGAAAGTTGAGGTTTGAATTTTTTCTTCATTCTTCCTATTCATAGTGACCGTATATTGGGTTTCTGTGAAGCAGCTGGTAGGTTTGAAGTGCCACCCTCGTACTTAGTAGCCCAGTGCTTATCCTATAGTGCCATACTTGTTGTTGTTGTTATTAAGTGCTGTCAAGTCAGTTCCAACCCTAGCGACCACTATATGGATAGGATTTCTGAGCAGCTGGTGAGCTTGAACTGACAACCTTGCAGTTCAAATGGCTTTGCAGTCTGACGCATTAGCCCACAGCACCACACTAGGACTTCTTTATATTTATGACATATCTCAGTTTGGACTGACTATATTTCAAGTACCCAAATAGCCTCATGTAGCTATAGTTATCATATGGTAAAACTGAGTCAATGTTTCCCTTTGTTGTCAACAATGCTAGAAAACTCCTAATTACTTCATTGCTGGTTTTTTTGTCTTCTGATTTTTCTTTAAGTTAGCCTATGTATTTATGTACTAACTGTAAGCTATTTTAAATATTTTTCTGTTGACATGGGGTCTTAGAGCATGTTGTTAAGTGCCAATGAGTTGGTTCTATCTCATAGCAACCTGGTATAGGGTTTCAGAGGCTTTAAGTGAGTGAGCAGAAAGCCTCATCCTTCTCCTCCGTGGAGTGGCTGGTAGGCTCAAACCATGGACCTTGTGGTCCACAGTCCAGTGCTTATCATTGTTGTTGTTGTTGTTGTTAAGTGCCGTCGAGTCGGTTTTGACCCATAGCGACCCTGTACAGGGTTTCCGAGAGTGTAAATCTTTACAGGAGTAGAAAGCCTGATATTTCTCCCGCGGAGCAGCTGGTAGTTTCGAACCGCTGACCTTAAGGTTCACAGCCCGATTCGTAACCACTACGCTACCAGAGCTCCTTAGTGCTTATCATCGGTAAATTAAAATAAGATTTCACTATATACTTTGGTGAAAAAATCCTGACCATATATTTTATTAAGAACATTGAAATTCTCAGTGTTGTATATTTAAACCCCAGATGATTTCCTAAGCTAAGGAAAAACAATCCTATTCAATTTCATAATATATTATCAGGATATGAGAACATAGATGATCACATTAAGTAAAATCTAGTGATGCTAGTAATGGAGTTAGCCTAAATCATTATACATTATATATCCTTTTTATACAGTCAACATGAATCATTACATATTCTTTGGCAACTTAAGAGTAGAAGCTAACACCTTATAATTGATTAAGCTCAATTTTACATTTATATTCATTAAATGTTAAAATCTGCTATATCTATATCTATATCTATATATCTATATAGATATATCTATATCTATATCTATATCTATCTATCTATATATATAGTGTTATGTTTTTTCAGCCCAGAGTACAGAGATAAAGTTGATTTTTTGTGTGATATCCAATAAGCTCCTGGAAAATAAGATAGACAGTTTAGATAATAATCTGGATATGAAATTACTTTAGGGTTTCAAAGTCTTTCAAAACTTAAAAAATACAAGTCATATTTACATTAGGTCTGTTAGGTCCAGGAGGTACTGCATTCATTAAAGTATACATATTGTCTCCAGAGTTGGTTGAATCTAAAACAAAATATTATTTAATTAACATCTTTCTTTATAATTTACACTCAAGTCAGCACAAAGTAACATTGAAAGAACAGCTGGATACATATATACATATACTGATAACTGCAGAACTCAAAGTGGTCTTTATAAATACCTGGCAGTCATTTCCATTCAAGAATTACCATACTGAAGTGCAAATTAGGTATGTGATAAGAGAATAATCACTTGAATAATTCTGGTAAAAAGGTACATAATTTTAAAGTTAGAAAAAGTTCCAGCAAAGGTTTTAATTAAAAAACAAATACAACTTGGATACTTTTTATGTTTCTTACGTAAGCAATGGTATGTATTTTGTTGTGGTTAAGTGCTGTTGAGTCAGTTCCGACTCATAGCGACCCTGTATAGGGTTTCCGAGGAGCAGCTGGTGATCTTGAACCGCTGACCTTGCAGTTCAAACCGACCTTGCAGTCTAGTGCATTAACCTGCAACGCCACAGCACACCAGGACTCCAATGATATATATAGATAAAACAAAAATGTTTTCTACAAAATCAGATTCCATAGCTTTGGGCTACTCATTATTCCCTTAGGGTTCCTATACACCAATTTTGAAAACAATTTAGCTAATATTAGTAAAAGCTGGTGTGTTGTTATTGTTGTTAAGTGTCATCTAGTCGGTTCCAACTCACAGCGACCCTATATAGTGTTTCCAAAGTAGTTGGTGGGCTTGAACTACCAGCTGTGCAACTAGCAGTCCAGGCCTCATCTTACAACGCCACACCTGAACGCAGTTCATATTAGGCTTAATTCAAATAGAGACTGAAACAAGACTATGCAATTAGAATGAAAAATTCTCTTGGCTTAAGGTAAAACCCAGCATTCTCCAGCGCAACTGATAATAAAAAATTCTTATTTAATCCTTGATAATAACAAAATAAGAAGGCCTGGTAGTGTAGTGGGTTGCACATTGGGCTGTGAACGTCAAGGTCAGCACTTCGAATCCACCAGCCGCTCTGTGGGAGAGAGGAGGCTTTCTGCTCCTGAAAAGATTTGCAACCTCGAAAACCCTATACTAGGTGGTATGAGTGGGAACCGACATGACAGCACGCAGCAGCACATAACAGTAAGTATAGAACATACGCCTACAAACATGAGGAACAGTTAATTCATATTGTGAAAGGCTGAATATTATACATTGAGGAAATAGTATAAAGACATAAGAGCACTCTATACAATAATGCACTTTTCATAATTAGAATGAATTGTTGTTGCTGTTAAGTGCTGTCAAGTCATTTCTGACTCATGGCAACCCTACATAGGGTCTCCGAGGAGTGGCTGGTGGTTTTGAACTGCTAACCTTGTGGTTAGCAGTCTGGTGTTTATCCGCCAGTGCCACACCGGGACTCCATTAGCACATCCTTTTAAAACTGCTTCCTGTTTTCACTCAGTAAGGCAGAGATAAAAATCCTTTGCTTTCTCATGGCAATAACTAGAGAGTGGGGGGGATAGGAAATTATTTTCCTTTTATGTGTGATTACTTATTAGAGCTCACAAATTTATTATTATTATTTTAGTATACACCACTTATGAATCGGGCTGCTAACCTCAGGGTCAGCAGTTCGAAATTGCCAGCTGTTCTGCGGGAGAAAGATGAAGCTTTCTGCTCCTGTAAAGATATACAGCCTCAGAAAGCCTGTACAGGGTCGCTGTGAGTCAGAACCGACTCCACGGCACATAACGACAACAAATTTACAGAGTTAGTAAAATATGTCATTAATGGGTTATTTGGAAATTGCTGTTGTTAAATGTCATTGAGTTGGATCCAACTCACAGCAGCCCTGGACAGGGTTTCTGAGGCTGTAAATCTTTAAGGGAGCAGAAAGCCTCAACTTTCTCTTGCGGAACGGCTGGTAGTTTCGAACTGTTGACCTTGAGGTTAGCAGCCCATCTTGTAACCACAACGCTAACAGAGCGCCTTCGTATTTGGTAATTTATAAATCTAAATATTGTTTTTCACTTTTCAATTTATATACAGTTGAAAAGCTGTTAATGCCCACTACCAAGTGACCCCTATCTTAATTGTCTTAATTAAGGTCTGTCTGAATTATCTTAATTAAGGTCCCAGCCTACAATTGTAGTCATAATTTTTTTACATAGTTCTATGTGATGCTGTGGAGTTCTGGTGTGGTACTGTGGGTTAATGCACTGGACTGTAAAATCAGCTTGAACTGCAAGGTTGGCAGTTCAAGCTCACCAGCCCCTTCTAGGACATCCTATACAGAGCCCTTATGGGTCAGAACCGACTTGACCGCACTTAACAACAACAAAAAGTGTGGTGATGTAGGATAAGAACTGTTTGAACCACAAGCAATTCAAACGCATCAGCTGCTCCATGGAAACCTTATGCAGGGTCACTATGAGTCAGAACCGATTCCACCGTGCTAAACAACAACAACACTGTACAATATGGAGTCCTAGTGTGGAACTGTAGAATAATTACTTGAATGCAAGGTTGGTTTGAATTGCAAGGCCAGTGGTTCAAACTCACCAGCCACTCCACTGAAAGCCTATACAGGGTTGCTATGAGTTGGAACCAAGTCAAAGGCACTTAACAACAACAATAAAAACAACAAATGTACAATATACTCCTTTGAACCCAGGCGATTTGGTCTTTCTTGCACACAGCTTTTGCATCTCTCTATTTTCTGTTCTTTCTTTATCCAAGCGTGTTCTGCTTCATCTCCACCTTCTGAAATTCTACTTACTACTCAAGGCCATTTTAAATGCTACCTCTTCCATGATGTTTTCTCCCTCCCCGCCCCCCCCCGACATACTTCCAAGTGTGTGAAAGCTCCTCCACCACTCAGTTTTGCTTTGCATCACAGCTAATATTTTGTCTTACTTTCTCCTTCCTGCTTCCAATTAGATAACAATAAGATTATTGAGAGAAGGAAAAAGGTCATGCCTTACTCATCTTCCATATGACAGACAACAGATGTTTGTTAACTTGGATTCGTCCGTCTACTACAAAAAGTTCTCTTTCAGAAAAACTTGGATTTCTTTTTAATCATAGGAAATCTTTAAATGTTTTTTTTTTTTTTCTCTCAACTTTATTAGCTTTACTGTTGGTCAAAGGAAAATGACTTGTATATTTAGAGGTGGCGGTGGTGGTTATGTGCCATGGAGCTGGTTCCGAGTCAGAGCGACCCTATATAGGGTTTCCGAGGCTGTAAATAAATGCAGGAGCAGAAAGCCTTATCTTGCTCCCACAGAACAGCTGGTGGGCTCCAACAGCAGATCTTGTAGTTAGCAGTCCAAAGCTTATCCTACAAAGCCATAGCATTCCAACCAAAAATATATCCTGATTTAAAAACAAAAATAAACATTTGAAGGACATAAGGTTGGTATTTTGACCAGAAAGTTTTTAGGTAATAACTGGTTTTGTTGTATTAAAAAAAAGTGGATTTTCAGGGGAAGTGGGATCAGTTGGCTTCATATTAGGGATTGGCTGTGATAAAGGATAAGTATCTACGGAATAAAAGGCTTGGAAGATATACTGGTGCCAATTCTTGGTTTGAAAGGGAGAAATGATCAGACTACCTGCAATGTTCAGGAGAAGGATAAGGCTTTGTGCTCCGGTAGAGATTTATCGCTATGCGACCAAAAAACCTGCAATGCTTAGTGTTATACTTTTTTTGAGTTTTATACTGAAACTTTTGTTAATCATGTACTAACTTATAAATTATAAAATAATACATAACACAAATGTGGGCAAGATGAGCAATTCTATTCTATTTCCAGCGAAGATGCTGAGGACAGAGCATGAAATATTTATGGATAGATTCCAAGGCAGTTTGCACCCACCAGCTGCTCAATGGCATAAAGACGTGGCAGTCAGGGTTGACATATAGCTTTGGAAACCCTATGGGCAGCTCTACTCTCTCCTATCAGGTTGCTATGAGCTAGACTTAACAGCAGTGGATTGGTGGCTCCAAGGACCCATTGGTGAAGCAAAGTAAAATTTTGCATTAACCATGAAATTCATGCTTTTTCTAAATTTAAAATGTTCACACTTCAAATTGATCATTTATTAGCAAAATTAATATTAACTTTCAAACTCCTCTATAGCTTATCTTTCAACAAACCATTTAAGAATCAATGGGTTTAACACTAAAATACAATTAAATTTTTTTTCTAATCAGAGAAGATAACCTGTCCTTTACACAAATTTTTTAATACTAAGCCAACAAAAGAGAATATAATAAAAATGTCTAGTTCACTTCATCATCCAGAAGTAACCAGTCATCAAGCTTAGCCTAAATATTTTTTTCTACTTTTTAGATTTCTTTGGAAATAATGTTGCTACACATTATGCTCCACCAGGTTCCATAAATAATTTATTTAGACATTCTGCTATAATTGAATTGGGTCTGAAGGTTGTATCCACCACTTCACTAGTGACTATCATAGAATGCTCCCTTTTCTATCCGTCTCGGACTGTGTCTGCATTGTCTCCAATAGTGAGATGATTGGGTCAACCAATTGGGTATGAATCTTTCCATGGTTCTTGATGCATGTGGCCTGGGTACTTTCTAGGGAGGCTGTACCAATGTGATTCCACTTTTGTGAGTGTCGTTGAGTTGGTCCCACTCATACCAACCCTGTATAGGGGTTTCCAAGGTTGTAAATCTTTGCAGGAACAGAAAGCCTCATCTTTTTCCCATGGAGGAGCTGGTGGGCTCAAAATACCAGCCTTGTGGTTTGCAATACACTGCTTATCATGATGAAGGAAATATTAAAGTCTATTCTAGTTTATAAGATTAAAAAAAAGTTTTCCTCACTAGGCAGTAGATTGACTGCTGTTGTTGTTAAAGTGCTGTCGAATCGGTTCCAACCCATAACCACCCTGTATAGGGTTTCTGAGGAGCCACTGATGGGCCGGAACCGCCGACCTTGTAGTTCAAACTGACCTTGCGGTCCAGTGCTAATATACCTAGAGACATACAGGACAAGCAATACTCTAGCACATCTCTCTCTTAAAAAGATGAGGTTGTTGTTGTTATTGTTGTTAAGTGCCTCTGAGTCAGTTCTGATCCACCCACAGCAATCCTGTATAGGGTTTCTGAGGAACAGCAGCTGAGTTTGAACCGCTGACCTTGTGATTCAAACTGACCTTGTGGTTGAATGCTTGATCCCATAGTGCCACATCAAGACTCTGTCGTCTCCTCTCTAGTCTATGAATAATTTACCACTACCATCCAACCATCAAGAAAAGCATTTTTTATATAAAAAAAAACAAAAACAAAAACTTTTTACATGGTCTCATACTTGTTTGTTCTTTAATTTGCTGTTTTACTTGTTATTTTAAACCTAATGGATCCATGCCTTCCATGTTTTGGTCAGATATAATTTTCCTAAGTTACAAGATCTGAACATGTTGACCCTCTTCCTTAGTCTCAAGGAATTTTTTAGTTGGAATTATCATTATCTGTCAAAAGTATGAATTATTGGGCAGTTCACACAAATCAATACAGCTGTTACCTTAAGCAAGCTACTCACACCACAGGGATTTTCTATATGCTAAAAGCAGGTGGACACTGTTCTTCTTAGAGAGCGCTGATTCCTTCCTACTCGCTGCCTCTACTCAGTAAACCATCATGAGATCATGAATACCATTAGCTTTCTTCCAAACACAATGTCTGCAGTTTATGATTTTATTCTAATAGTCACAAACCCACATGACTAGTGGGATTACAGTACCTGCAGGGCTAGGCATGATAGGTGTTCCTGGTGGTCCTCCACCTCCTGGAGGACCCTAAATAATTACACAAAATTTCAGTATAAATAAGGCATTTTATTCAACAAAATGGTAAAAAAAAAACAACAAAACAGCCAGAAGGTTAAGACTTATCTCTATAATAAACCAATTTGAAAATAACAGACAAAAGATATTTTCTCCATAATTAATTTTCTTTGAATGCACAATCATTTCAATATTATGCAAAACATAATTTACCTTAAATATGTTGAGAGTGTTTTGACAAGTTTCCAAAAACAATGCGACTATAATACTAATTTATTATTCATGACTTAATCACATCAGATATAATGAGGTTAAGTATAAACCATTTAATAGGGTCTTTACACATCCACAAAACAGAAATAATTTATGTGTGTCTGAGATTTAGCTTACTGTAATTTTCTTTCTTATTGTATGACTAGTTTATACAAAAACAAAATAGTGTCTTAGATATTCGTATTTTTAAAAACATATTGATTCTCCTTACTCCTCTATTGACATCAGTTGCAGCACCTTTAGAACACTGCACCTTCAACTACAGCATTAATTAGAAATGAGAGGCAATGTTGATTAATGCTGTGGTTTACTACGATTGCAGCTACACAATCCAACTGAAATGGAAATTAGGTAATTCTGAAGTTAATCCAATGATTTCTGACAGCCAAAATGGGTAATTCAGGCAATGGGATTTAGAATTTAAATTATTCAAATGCTTTATGAACACTGATCAAATAAACTGTTAGAACGCTATGATTTGGCTTCATTCTGACACAGACTACCAATTATTTCAAATAGTACACATTCCTGCTATTTAATAAACAAGTTACCTTTCCTTTAAGTAAGTGTCTATAATTCCACAAAAATATACATCAGCCTTACTCTTAAGTGACTTCAAAAGTCTGTTAAAATATGTTTTCTTAAAAATAAGCTAATTTTTTTTAACTTTCATTTTTGTTTTATGGAGGAAATGGAGAGTAGAGTCAGGTGTTCTTTGTGTGCATTGCTTAATGAAACATTGAACACTAATTTGACAGTGCCCAAACCAAATTTTCCTCTATGGTGATCCTGATATGTAACAAAGGTTAAAATGCAATGATGGTTCAAAGGTCACTTGCAAATCCAAGAGGCAGTGTAGGGCCTGCTAATTTGACAGGAGGTATCTACACATTTTTCGAAATTTTTAATGTGCTAATAAATAACGAAAAGAAAATAAGGGTTTTGATTTTCTAGAAATGAATGAAACACTAAAAGATTTCCCCAAATTACTAGTTATTATTTTGCTGTTTGATTCACTTTGTGATTGAGATAAAGTCTGATGATGTCTTTTTAGACGTTGTGTGGGGAAAGCGGTATAGGGGAGGGTGATAGAGACTAGTTTCCTAGAGAACTGCAAATTCAAGCATATCATTGTGTAACTCGGGGTGGCTGTCTTCTGGACAGAGCATACTGCACTGGTTTTAGAAACATATGCTGAAGTAAAAGCACAGTACTTAGGGCAATTCTGGCCCGAGTGGTAACTGTTTCACTAATGAACATCAACATACGTACTGAGGTTGGCAGACAAAACAACTCAATACAAATCAGATGTTCACTTCTTGGCCAATACACAGGGGCTCTTCTTAACATCTGGACGACTATTTCATTACCCAAATAAAAAGTAATACCAGTTCTTACGAGCAAACAAACCAAATGTACTTACTACATAATTCCCAGGAGATGCTGAGGAGTATGGTATCTAGAACATGAACAGGACAAAAAGAATATATATAGTGATTCATGTGGCAGTGTGGAGACTCACCTAAAATGACATTATTTCCTGACTTATCAAGTTTTAAAATACATCTTAAGGATGGTAAAGAACAAGGGTGTTTACATATCTGCTTAAGTGCTAGACAACTGGAAAATTGCAATATTACCATAGATTTACAAAAAATGCAGACAAATTTATTAGTCAAGAAGAACTTAGAATTACAACTCCAAACTATATTGGTTTCACAGCTGTTGCACTCACTGCTTAATACTAATGACGCTTATTCTGTAATTAGATATACACGAGGTGGCTTCAGAAAGTTCAGGGAAAGGTGGAATTAAAAGATAATGGAATTTTTTCCATGAACTTTTTGAAGCTCCCTCAAATTTACTGCAGCTAAAAACAAGAAACTAGAAATTTCTTAATGAGTAGCCTTTAGACACAAAACCTCTAGCCCTGTGTGCCTATTTGAAGCACTGTTTTTTAAAGAACAGGTTTCAGACGACTATGTTCATGTAGCATGATAGCGTAGTGGTTACGAATCGGGCTGCGAACCTTAAGGTCAGTGGTTCGAAACTACCAGCCGCTCCGCGGGAGAAAGATGAGGCTTTCTACTCCCGTAAAGATTTACACCCTCGGAAACCCTGTACAGGGTCGCTATGGGTCGGCTCCGACTCGAAGGCACTTAACAACAACAACAACAACAATGTTCATGTAGCATAGGTCCATACTTGACGTACGCCCTCATCTCCTCCCCCTGCCCTGCCCAGTTCCTTTCCAACTAGCTAACAGAAACTAACACAATGAATGACAACGAGGTAGTCAATATGAGTCCCCAAAGACTCAATTTATGGGAATCAGACAGGATAGAAAATTCGTTTTCTTTTCAGTTCTAGATTTTATCAAGCTCTTTTCTAGAGAATAATAGGTAGAAATACCACATTGCTCTAATAACTTAAGAAATCAAAAGCTGGAAAACATGATGGGGTTTCAAAACATTCATGGAACAATCCATTATCTTTTAATTCCATTTTCAGACAACCTGTTTGAAGCCCCTTTGAATTATTTAAAATTAAGTCGCTGCGTACAAATACTAACATAAAAATTGAATCCACATATTCTCTTTTTTCACACAAGCTTACTTACATGAAAATTGCTCATGTAGCAGAGATAATTTTGCCTTATTCTGATACAAGGCAGTTAATTACTATCTACTTGGTTGAGTCAGGCAGCCAGGACCAGAATAAAACCTTTCTGTAGTGAAAAGATCATAATGTCTGTAGCTTGGACCTTCCTTCCACCCTAACACTTGGAATATAAATGAAAAAACAATATATGAAACCATAAAAGTAAGCATAAGAAAAATCCTACATCATTACAATTTCCTCATGGTAAATGATACTTAGATTCTTTTTAGGGAATATATAACACTAAATTATTTAAAAAGTTTTTCTCTTTATTCTTTTGTGTCTTTGCTTTGCTCCAAGCACAGCCCACAGTCCTTGAGGGCCCTGCTCTGTCTGCCTATGGGTAAGTCAACACTGCTGATGGCTGTTGAGTGCCCAGTGTTCCTAGTGGCAGGACTATTTCAACTGTAAGTACTGACATCTCTGTGGCAGTAAACGTATTTTACTGAACACGTGAATGAACACCGCCCTGTTCTCAGGCCCCTTTTCATCCCAAACTACAACCATCCTCCGCTTCTCGTTATTTGAAACATGTGCATCTGCCTCTTAAAACCACCAATTTATCTACTGGCCCATAGGACCAGTATTTTCTTCTCCCTATGACTATAGCATTTGGTTCATGCTCTTCTGCCTCCCTGTATAGCCTATCCTCATTCTGAAGCAACTTCAAGATACACCTGACCACGCTTTAGATCTTTGAAATTTATAGTTCTTTGCCTTCCTTTACTTTACAACACACTTCCCTTTCTTTCATGACTTTTATGACTTTGTCCTTATCCTTGAACTCTTTATACAGAGATCTTCATTTAGCATCTCCTGGACTGCTAACCACAAGATTGGTGGTTCAAGACCATCAGTTGCATTGTGGGAGAAAGATGAGACTAGGCTGTATGCTCCTGTAAAGATTTATAGTCTCAGAGCCCTTTATAGGGTTGCTATGAGTAGGATTCGACTCGATGACAGTGGGGTTTTGTACTGAGCAACTCCCTTGCTAGATACCATTCTCCTTTCTCCTGGCATAATCATTACTTTATATTCTGACCAGAATCTTCTCCCATTCTAATTCCGCCATGTTTTCTTAATTTATGAGCTCCCTATTGGTTTTCTCCTAGTTAAATTGCCTCTGCCCCTTTCCCATGCCACTTTTGGAATGTTATTTCTCTCCAGTATCTTAAATGCCCTATCCTAAAACCTACTTTGTTAATTTCCATCTCTTGGATCACCCCCAGCCACCGTTTTTGTTGTACAGCAGAGATTTCCTGAAGGGAAACACAAAACAAGGTTGACAAAGTCCAAAATACAATCATGCTTTTCAACTTCAACCTAGTCTTTATTAATATCTGGAAGGATTTTAGCTCATCCTTCCCTAAAGTCCTGAAGTATATAGTGATGTGCTGGTAGACTCAGTAATCTCCAGAAGTCGGGGGAAAACTGATTTGTGTACTGTTTGCCTATTTCTATGGTGTAAATATCCTGACTATGGCAGACTCAAGCTAATACCAGTTTAAAAAGCTCACAAAATTCCCAAATATTAACACTTGACTCTTGTAATCTGGCCTCAAAGGTGATTTTACCCTTTGCCCTATGGTAACAAATTGAAGTCATCAAGTTCTTGATATGCTTTCACCTTCAGCTCAACACTGCATTCTTGATAAATTTAAATTGTATTCATTAATAATAGAAAGGAAAAA